TCAAACATTCCCCTCCTCTGACCATGCTGGACAGACCTTCTCTGCGTCAAGTCGTGGTGTCATGTGGGGGCTTTGATTCATTCACTGTTTATTCATAATTTATTAACATTTAGCAAATAGTGCAACATTTTTGTCCTGGGGATACAAAGGTGAATAAGATACAGCCTGAGGGAGACTGACACCTAGCGGAGGAGAGACACAGCACAGGGATAACTATAAAGCGGTAAGCTCCTAGCGTATCCTGGGGACGGTTCCAGGAAATGCGTTCATGGGAAAATCTTGACTTACTTGGAAATCAGATAACATGAACATTATTCCTGGCATGCCTTTGAAATACTGGGCACCACTTAACCAATTCTCCAGTTCGGTCTTTGAGTGCCTTGTAACAACGTAGAACTCTCAGGTTTTGATGAGAAGCCTGTGTTGCATTTCACATGTTTTAGATTAATTGCATCATTCATGAATGACGCAGTTAATGGCCAAGGATAGGAGGATGTGGTTAGGTCTCTGCCCAGAACCTAGGTTTCAGAACTGCGTTTCCGTGAAGGGTTAACACCTGGCCCCCTCCAGATGGCCTGAGGTCAGAGCCTCTCTGGAAGAGGCGAGAGAACAGCCCTTCTGGAGAATTAGAACGTTTAGTGCCGTGCGATCTATTTTCAAAGCCAGGCAGCTGGAATTTAAGGGGCTATGGCTGTGAACCCTGAGCATAAGTTGTTGACTGTGAGATGATCAGGCTTGAAAACCGAGCTGGTTCCTGGGTCAGGCAGGATTAAAGGGCCAGATGCTCAAAAGAGTGATATAATGGGGATTTAAAAACCCAACTTAGGGCTTCCCTGGTGGCGCAGTGGTTGAGAGTCCGCCTGCCGATGCCGGGGTTCGTGCCCCGGTCCGGGAAGATCCCACATGCCGCGGAGCGGCTGGGCCCGTAAGCCATGGCCGCTGAGCCTGCGTGTCCGGAGCCTGTGCTCCGCAACGGGAGAGGCCACAACAGTGAGAGGCCCGTGTACCATAAAAAAAAAAAAAAAAATCAACTTAAAGAATCACCAATATCTCCAACTATTTGGGCAAGGAGTTTTACCTTTTTAAAAACAAATTTAACCTTGGGGACAGATTTGTAGTTTCGCATGCTGCGTGTTCTCTAGGCTGGCGCCTCGGAATCTGCGCGCAGGAGAGCTGGCTTTGGGCTGCGTTTGGGTAGGTTAGGGGACACAGTGGCCGGGAAACTGAGCAGTTGCAGGCTCACAGGGCGGCACGCAAGGTCGTTGGCTTCATCGCAACCTGTTCCCTGACTCGCTGTGATGTTACGGGTCCGTTTCGAGTTTGCAGTTAACATACCCAGCATGGCTCTGTCTTTTGTTGCATTTCCTGCACTATTATCTAGGTTTTGGCGTTTCCCCCTCCCCAGTTTTGGCCTCTGATGACTTACAGAATGTCCCTGATCCTCACGTGTTGGCTCCGAGATGGGTGATAAAGAAGATGGGGTGACGGCAAGGATGAAGAAACCCTGCACGTGTGAGCCAAGCAGATGAGTGAAACTACAACACAGATCTTTGCTTAAAATCAGTCAGCAGGAAACTCCCCCCCATGCTAAGCGTGGATGTGCGTGGGAGCGAAGAAAGACAGGCTGTGCCTGTATTTTCCGAATTTTAAAAGTTAGTGTATTAATGACACGCTGAAAAATACCATGTAAAAACTGAAGCAGTGCTGTAATATGGTAGACTAAGCTATCTGGACCAGTCCTCCCATTCAAACTAGAAAAGGATGGATAAATGTTGAAATGAGTCTTCTTAAAGGCATCAGAAGGGTCACAAGGAGTAAGGAATCACCAAATCGAACCTAACGGGAGGTACATACAGAAAGAAAACTGAGTAGAGGCTGGGCTCCGAGACGGCTTCTGCTTCCGGCATGGGCAAGTTGCCATGTTTGACTTGGGTTTGACAGCCTCGAAGGGCGAGGAGAAAGCTCAGCAAATCCACGGCTGTCCCAGGTGGGGGCTACAGGGCCATTCCCTGCAGATGAAGCTGAGGTGCCAGAGCTGTGCCTGAGGAAGAGGGTGCAGCAGAAGTAAGCCTGCTGCCCAGAACGTCGGGAACAGAGAAAGTCACCCCAGTGCCGAGCGGGGTATGTGGGAAGGCAAGGTCCCTGAGATACTGTAACCACATCCAGGCTTTCCTTGGATTCTCAGCCTCAATTTACATCACCTGGGTTGTCCAAAAGAAACTTAAGACACTAAACTGGACTCAGGATGTCATGAGCTGGCAGTGTCCGAGGCTGTCTGGCAGAAGCAAAAGCAATTACCCTTGGGGAAAAGATGCTTTCGCTGAAATCTTTCAAAGGTTATTCACAAGCAGTTCTTCAAGGATACGAGCAGCGTCACTGCAGCACAGACTGATGAACATACATTATTTAAGGACAAGACCAGCTTGAAAACATCTTCAGGGAACTGAAAGCTATAAAAGTGATCCAGCAGATTTGAGAAAAATTGAACCTCTGAAAATTACTCATCATAATAAAAAATTATATGGACAAGTGAGACAGATGTGATGGGGCTGAGCAAAGAATCCATGAACCAGCAGATAAACCAGGAGGAATTATCTAGAATGCAGCATAGAGGGACAAACAGAGGGAAAATGGAGAAGAGAGGTTAAGTGACCCAGAAGAGAGAGACGAGGGGGCAACAGCGTCCTCTGAAGAGAGGATGACAGAGAAATCCCAGACCTGTAAGGCCACCACACACAGCCTCACGAGGACCAGCAATTCCCAAGCAAAGTGAATACAAAGAAATAAATATCTAAACGTATCTTAGTGAAACTAAGATGAAGGAAAAACCCGCAAAAGCAGGTGCAGAAAAAAATATTACTCTCCAGAAAGATCTTTAGAAAATCTCCAAATATCTGGAAACGAAATAACACACTTCTAAGTAGCCCAAGGGTCAAAGAAGAAATCAAAAAGGGAATCAGGAAGTGTCTTGAACTGAATGAAAATCAAAATAACATATTAAAATTTGTAGGATGCAGCTGAAGCAGAATTAAAGGGACATGGAGAGCACTGAATTCTGAGATCCCTCAAATCAATGAATTGGATTAGAAATAAATAACAGAAAGATCTCCAAGTGTTTGGAAATTAAACGGCACACTTTGACCCCAAAGAGGAGAAAGTTTTGCTTTCAGCCACGATGGAGCAGAGAGACTGGGTTTCCCCCTTTCCCCTCAGATGTCTATTAAACTGGACAAAATACATGAAACAAACGTTTTGATGTCACTCCCTCCCTTGCCTTCCCTCTTCCCTTTCTCCCCACATCCTCTCCTTCTGTACTTATTCCCTGCTTCATTTCACAGAGCATTTGAGGAATGTCATCATGTTAATCTCATTAGAAGAAAACCTCCTTGAAGCTGGTGGCTGGGTCTTCTGTTTTCTGTCTCATGTGTCCCGGTACAACATCCCCGCGTTGTGGTAACCAATTCATGTTGTTAAATGAAATGATCGTCAGCCAGTTCAAAACCGCGACCCCACTTTGCAGCACAGAGAATCTCTTAAATTTGTATTTTGCTTTTTAGTTTTCTAAGCTTTTTAAATTTCACTTGATTCTTTCAAGGGTTCTGTGTAGTAGGTGGGCGGGTTTAATATGATCACTTTCCAGGTGGGAAAGTACAAAGACCCACTGCATCTATAGCATACTTGGGAGATCTCTCCAATTACACTGATTATTTGTGGTGAGGGTAATTAGATGTTAGGTGCATTGTTAATATTTTTTTCTCTTCTAGATTTCAACTTGAAGACAGCAGAGGGCGCCTGACCACACAAAAGGTACACTCTAAATGTTAATGATATGTTAGATTTAAGATTATTCATTAAAGTTTCAAAAACGTGAATTTCACTAAAATAGGACCGTGTACTTCATCTTTCTACTATTTTAGGATTCTGATCTCATTTTAAGTGTTCTATTCTTTCTTGGTAATGAGAGTTTCAACCTCACGTAAATCACCATGACACTATTAATTCCAAGAGCCTTCCAACTGAGCTTCAAGATTCTTTCAGATAATAAAAGTACAAAATCCTCCATCTATCAGATCCTTCCAAATCTTCAGCAGGGCATAGGCTCCCCCTTCCGTAGCTCTTAAGAGGCGACCAGTGTAATGTGTTGCAGACAGATGCGCTGTGACTGAAGGGCCATCTTACTTCAAGTGTGTTGCCTCCAGGTTACCCAGTATTCTCAGAAAAGTGTAAAAGGATTAGGCATGCTCTTAGTCATATTGCACTAGAGGGAAAGTAACGGTTTCTGAGGAGCACTAGTGAGGCTTTCGCCATTTGTAGCTCATTGTTGAAGGCGATTTTGTCTGCAGGTTCAGGGGCCAGGGTACTGTGAAATTCTGCTGCTCCCTTCCAATTGGCTTCTAGCTGGTTCTTTTCTCTATCATCTCACGTGTTCTCACATTCTCCTACAATCGGTGCTGGGGACGGCGGCAGCCTGAATCCTATTCCACCTCCCCATCCTCCCCACCCCCCGTAGTTCCCCAAATTTTATTTTTCTTCTTTTTTTTTAAAGATTTATTTATTTTTTTTCCTGTACGCGGGCCTCTCACTGTTGGGGCCTCTCACAGGCTCCGCACGCACAGGCTCAGCGGCCATGGCTCACGGGCCCAGCCGCTCCGCGGCACGTGGGATCCTCCCGGACCGGGACACAAACCCACGTCCCCTGCATCGGCAGGCGGACTCTCAACCACTGCGCCACCAGGGAAACCCTAAAGATTTAATTTTTAAATTTATTTTTAGCTGCGTTGGGTCTTCCTTGCTGTGCGTGGGCTTTCTCTACTTGTGGCGGGCGGGGCTACTCTTTGCTGTGGTGTGTGGGCTTCTCCTTGTGGTGGCTTCTCTTGTTGCAGAGCACGGGCTCTAGGCGCACGGGCTTCAGTAGTTGTGGCTCAAGGGCTCTAAAGCGCAGGCTCAGTAGTTGTGGCGCACGGGCTTAGTTTCTCCGCTGCATGTGGGATCTTCCCGGACCAGGGCTCAAACCCATGTCCACTTCATCGGCAGGAGGATTCTTATCTACTGCGCCACCAGGGAAGCCCTATTTTTCTTCTGAAAGACTAGGTTAATGGACAAGGCTTGGAGTTGGCTGAAAAAGCATTCCTCCCTGGCTGCTCAGAGATTAGTAAGTTGATTGGATCTAAGTTGATTTTGTTACCGATTAGGATTCTTGGACTCCTTAATCAATAGAAATTGATAAGAGGCCAGAGAAGAAATTCAGGCAAGGCTTTATTGGGACTTGTGCTGCAGCACGAGGGTGCGAAACCAAGTAGCAGGATCCTTTGCTCGCCCCCTGACGGGGGATGGGGGTGGGGGGGCGAGCTTGTACCTTACATGGGGTGAGGGCAGAGGCGGGCCCACGGGTTGGTCCCCAACAGTGGCTTGGGTGGTCTGCCCCCCCCCGCCAACTTGGTGGTGCTGAGTAGAGGGATCATTTGCAGTACCTGTGCTTTGCTTCCTGACTCCTCAGAAGTGGCAGTTGGGTCTTTGGTCTTTTTGTATCTTGTTCATAGTTTGCCCCAACTGCCACATGCATGCAGTTTTTTGTTGTTGTTGTTTTTCATGCAGTTATTTTTAATCCCTTAGTTTCTTTGTATTTTGTTTGGACGAGATTTGTCCAGGTGCAAGCACTGCACCAAAAGGTCCCAGGTCTCAGCCTGTCTCAATTTCTTTAAGGCTGAGCCTGTGGCGGTTCACCCACAAAGTAGGAAAGGAGATTATTTCCTGATTTATGCTTTCCCTTTGCCAAATGTTTGCTTGTGCTTGTCCTTAATTTGTCCTGTTTCCTTGATCACAAGTCCAAAGATGACATCTTCTAAGCAATGAGAAGCGTTTTCACTCTGCTCTGTCCAAACCATAGCATTCCACGTTCTACCTGTGGTTTTTCCCATTTACTAAGTCGTTTGAGTCAAATGCTAGCGGGCGGTTTGGCTTCCCAGACTTGGAACACTGACTGCTCTTGGAGGGGGTGTCATCAGCCCTGCTCGATCATGGAGAAACAAGTCGCCTCACACAGGACACTTAAGGAGTCACCTAGAAGGCGGACTGGCAGGGCTGTTTTTCTTGCTGAGCACAGTACCCTCAGCCCCTAACAATATCTGGTGCTCAGGGTCTGCGAATCCTTTAAGTGCATAAGCGTCTCTATGGGGAACGAAGGCACAGCAATCATTTGACTCGTACAAGGGTTTGCGCTGACAAAACGCGGCTCATTTACCAAGTCACCCAACTGGGTCACTGTGCAATGTGCACGCACTAAGCAATATGCGTAAACACCGCAGAAACTGAAGCCAGCCTTCAGGCCCGGGCCCGGTGGCGGCGGAAACAGCAGGTGTCGAGTCCCCGGGAGGAGGTCTCCGAGCTGAGGGCGGACGGCACGGGGACGGGGCCCCACTGCTTCCAGGCGGACGCCACCCAGAGCCCGAGGCCCTCAAACCCGTTTCCAAAGGCGGAGCACAGACAACCAGTAAAACATCCATCCCCGGGCCAAGGCCCGCCCGCCCCGCCCACGCTCTCGGAAGCGCGCTGTGGGGGGGAGGACCGGAAGTGACGCGCTTTCCGCGCGCCGCCTAGCACGTATTTTTTGCGCGCTGCGCGCCGCTCGAGACTTGCAGGCGTCCCGGCATCTCCTCTGACCGGGCGCGATGGGCAAAAAGGGCAAGAAAGAGAAGAAGGGCCGCGGGGCGGAGAAGACGGCCGCCAAGGTGGAGAAGAAGGTGTCCAAGCGCTCGCGGAAGGAGGAGGTGAGCGGGGCCGGAAGGCGGGCTGGCCTCCTTCGTCCCGGGTCTCGTGCGTAGCCGGGCCCCCTGTGCTGGGCGCTGGGAGGGGCCGGGCTGAGCGGGCGCGCCTCTGCAAGCCTCAGCCCTCGGCTTTAAAAGAGGGTACGTGATCCTCACGGCAGCCCTGAGCAGTGAGCGTCAGTGGAATAAGTAAGTGGAACTGTGGGGCGTTCCAAAACAGTTCTCTGTGTCTCTCTCCGTCTCTGTCTCTCCTTCTCCCTCCCTCGCCCTCTTACTCTCTCCCCCTCTTTCTATCTTTAGAAGTGTGTACACATGTGCTGAGCTTAGAGGCGAGCTCTCTGCTCTTAATTGACTGTTGTTCACGGGCTCCCTAACCCGGGGCGGTTTATAGTGGTTAATGAGTGTTTGCTGCGTGCCAGGCATTGTGCTCTCTGGGCTTTAATTCTTACAACCAATTGAGTTAGGTAACTTTGGCGTCCCCATCTGACAGGAAGTCAGAAGCTAACAGGTTACACGCAGCTCAGGGTCACACAGCTGTGAGGTGGCTTGGAGCTGGAATTTGACCGGGTGTCCCTGATCCAGAGCTCTTAACCACATACCCTTGTCCCTTTTCTTCCTAAGGCATTCGTGGCTCCATTTCCTCATCTGTCAAATAATGGGGTTGAGCTTTTTCTCTCCCTGTCTCCTATCATTTTTTGGCAGGGGGACTAAGCGAGTGGTCTTGGGGGACAACTTGGAGTTCTGCCCAGTGCAGAACTCATGTCTCAGATAGCTGGTTGACACCTGCAAGTGGCTGTCGCGCAGATTCCTCCCCTTCTAAACTGTCCTATTGAAGCTCCATCTCTTCACCCTGCTGGGGAGACCTACATCACCTGGGCTCACTTCCCTCCAGCCACACAACTCTGTGCTGTGTCTCAGATATGCCACCTTCTTTCTGCACCTCAACCCCAAATACATTCTTCTACACTGGTTCCTTTTCATCTTTCAGCTTGCTGTCACCTTGCAGAGGCTTTCCCAGACTAGGCTGCCTGTGCTACCAGACCTGCCCTGTCCCAGCCCCTCCGCCCCGTGATTGTGATGCTCAGCCGCTTGAGAAGTGCTGCCTTAGAGTGGTAGGAGGGAAGCTTACCTGGCTTCTGGACCTTGTTTTAACCTGGTGAGATTTGTTCAACGTGCGGGCATGGGGAGCGGCTGCTGGATTAACTGGCGAGATGTGGAGGAGGTGGGGGTTGAAGCGAGTCACCCGACAGCCACCGAACCAAAGTTGGGTCCCCTTGCCTGCACGCAGCAAAGCCAACCTACAGACCCTGGGTTGTGGTGAGGGAAACTGGGGGGTTTATTGCAGGTGCCCAGTAAGGAGTCCAGGCAGCTGGTGCTCAAAAGACCCAACCTCCCTGAAGGCTTTTAGGGAAGATTTTTAAAGACAGGGTCAGGGAGGGGGTGCTGTGGGCTGTGTGATCAGCTTGTGGACATTCTTCTTGTTGGTTGGTGGTGAGGTCATCGGGCGTCAACATCATTAACCTGTTTCCAGCCCGTCTGGGGTCTGCATTCCGGTGGCAGCACGCAGTTAACTTCTTCCACCTGGTGAGGGTTTCCATATTTGCGGAACAGCTCACAGGACATGGCGCAGAGTATCAAATGCAGCTGTTGAGGAGGGACTAAAGGTCCTTGACTTTAAGATCAAACTATTATTATTTTGTCCTCCTTGACTCTTTTTCTTCTTTATGCATTTTCTCCCTTCTCTGATTAAATTTATTCTTTGGAACTCGGGAAGGCCTAGGAGGCTAAAGTTTTTCTACAGACAAGAGGCAGGCAGAGGACATGTTGGCGGGGGAGGGGGGGGGCGGCGGGGGGAGGGGGGCGGTTTCTTGTTCCCGGAAGGCTTCATAGGGTCCTGCTCAGTTACACGACGGCAGAGCCTGTGCTGCTAACTAAGGGGTCGACGAGGCCTGCTCCCAACCAGAGACACCGTGCTCGTGCCTGCCCTTGCGTGACGGGGTTTGATGCTTCCTGCCGGCCTAGCCAGGTGGGTGTCAGTGCCACTCGCCCCAGGACTGATACAGCAGCTCTCCCTCCAGGCCTGCCGCTGCTCGTCGCAGCCACGCCTTCCTCCCACCTTGTTCCCGTCTTCCCTTCTCCCTTTAAGGAAGACAATTTCTCGGGTGAGTGACAGTGGACTGGAAGCTCTGAGCTTACTGAGGCCCCAGCAGTCACTTCTCCACGCACGTCTTCCTGTAAGGGTGCAGCGGTTCAGAACTTATCTTGAGTACCTAATTACACGTAGGAGTAGCAGGATGATGGGTGTTTTTGTGGACTCCTGCGAAGGTGAAAATTGGTAGAGCCAGTTGGGTTCTAATTTGTCAATATCTAGAAAAGTGGAAGCTACAGCCTAGCAGTTACCCACCTAAAAGTCTACTTTGGAAAAATTACCCCCAGCTACACAAAGACAGGTACTAGAACGGCCGAGGTAGTATTTCTTGTAAAAAAGAACATTTTGGAGTTGACCCAGATGTTCAGCAGCAGCTGGATGGTGCAGAAGCCATGTAGCTCCGCCACCATGATGACGAACGGGTTCAGGGCATCAGAGCTTGCTTTCAGCAGTGTTAAGCAGAAAAGCAAGTTGCAGGGGAATGTTCAGTACGATAACATTTACATGGAATTGAAAAACCTAAAACAACAACGTACGTAGTTTAGGGATACATAACGTGTAGTAAAAGTATAGAGAGATGGTGTGAGAGTAACGAGCCCTCCGTTCCAGAGAGTGGCTGCCTTCGGGAAGGTGAAGGGGGTACACACGGTGGGGGCGGGGTTGCAGGTGGCTGTTCAGGCCCGGGGGTACGATGCTCTGAGGAAAGGAGCTGAGAGGAAGCCAGTGCGGCTGGGAGAGTGAGGAGGTGGGGTGGGACGTGAGGCAGGCGAGGGAGGGAGAAGGGTCTGGAAGACCTGCTTTCAGGCCCTGCAGAATGTGGAACCTGGGAAGGAGAGCCGGGGTAGTGTGAGGTGGGGTGGGGTGGGATGGGAGGAAGGATGGGGGGGACAGATGCCAGGTGTCAGCATGAGCAAAGTGCTGGGCCGAGCATTGAAGAGAAGGATGGGAGACTTTCCCGTGACAGACATCACGCATCACTGCGGGGTGGGCGGCACTACTGTAAATGCAGGGACTGAGGGCGGGAAGACTGAGTGCCAATGCTACCCAGCTGTGCACGGAAATTGGCGCCTTAACATCTAAATTGGTTTCTGCGGTCCTTCTGCGAAGGTGGAGGCCTTCGTACACGGATTGGCTGCAGCTGATAGAGGTCGGGCGCCCACCGCGCAGGCGCCGTTCTAAGCAGACCGACACGTCTGGTTCCTTTGGAGCTTATGTTTTGTTATGTTGGTGGGAGGGAGGTGGCAACAAAATAAATAAGTGAACAAGGAAACATCAGACCCCGCTCTGCAGACAGCAAAGCAGGCTGGTGCGGTACCCCAGGCCTGGGTTTCCAGGGCTGGCTGAAGGTGTTGGCGTGAAGTTGGGTGCGCTTGTCTGAGAGGAAGGCCTTGGGGGACGGGGTGAGAGTTTGGAAGGAGATGATGCACATGCCGTGCGCGGGCAGGTCAGGCCCTGAGCATTTGCGCATGTGTCAGGTTCTGTGTGTTTGAAATGGGAGAAACAAGTTGTAATTCACGGATGTGACTGGACCCCGGTCAGGTCAGAGGGCTGGGGAAAGCTGGCCCAGGCATCTGGCCACGTGATGGGGTTTAAGCAAACGTCTCACATGTGGTGGCTTGTCTGTCTACAGGAGGACCTCGAAGCCCTCATAGCCCACTTCCAGGCTCTCGATGCCAGAAAGACTCGGATCGTGGAGACACCCTGCTCCCCACCTTCTCCAAGGTAAGCAGCACGGACTCTCCAGTGTAGCTTCTGACCTGAAGTCTTCTGGTATAGGTTAGAAAAGTGCTTGAAGTAGGCACTGTGTTTTCATAAGTAACCGGGCACTTGGGACAGTTTCATCATGAAAACCCGCCAGGTCAGCTCCCACAAAACCTTTTTTTCACTTCCGCTTAGGAAGAATGGGAGCGAGGCAGCTCAGCTTCATTGTCGTGGAGAAACCCGGTGAGGAGGTCTCCTGGCTCAGCTGCTCTGCCAGTCAGGGAGGTTGTGTGGGCTGGGTTGCTCGCCACCCGGTGACAGTCTGTGGGCAGTCCGTGAGCTTCTCCTTGCTTCTTAGGTTTCTAAAGGCCCATCACGGTGCGAAACTTAAAATCATGATAGTTTTTTGCTGTGTTCGTTCATAATGCTTTCAAATTCTCGTGTGAAAAGTGTGACCATTAAGCGTAAACTGTCTGTTAGCCATTTTAGGTGGGTTTGTAGTTTATGTGAGGAGCTCCAGCATCTTTTGTAGGATTTGAGACCCTGTGGAAGGAGCAGGCTGTGGGGTTTCTTTTGTTTTTTAAAAAAATAATTAATTAATTTTAGGCTGCATTGGGTTTTCGTTGCTATGCGCGGGCTTTCTCTAGTTGCAGAGAGTGGAGGCTACTCTTCATTGCGGTGTGCAGTCCTCTCATTAAGGTGGCTTCTCTTGTTGCCGAACACAGGCTCTAGGCGCGTGGGCTCCAGTAGTTGCACCTCGCGGGCTCAGTAGTTGTGGCTCGCGGACTCTAGAGTGCAGGCTGAGTAGTTGTGGCGCACGGGTTTAGTTGCTCTGTAGCATGTGGGATCTTCCCGGACCAGGTCTCGAACCTGTGTCCCCTGCATTGGCAGGTGGATTCTTAACAACTGCACTACCAGGGAAGCCCCAGGCTGTGGTTTTCACTGGCTTCTTGCTCCTTTCTTCTCGTCCCCTTGGCTCCGGAATGCCAGTTCTCTCATTTGATCCAGGGATTCAGGCTCAATAGTTCTTACACTTGCTCCTGGCAGAGCAGAGGCTGGACACGGAGTGCATCAAGCCAGGAGCCCAGGGAGGCTGAGCGACCCTGATAAGGAGATGCCGTGTCCTTTGGAGAAGGGGGAACGCCTTAACTGCACGAGCATCCGGGGCTGTCTTGATCAGTCGAGAAATGATTTGCTTTGTTTCCCTCAGGCCTGAGTGGAGGCCTTGGTCTAGCACGTCAGGCAGGGAGGTGGTAAGAGTGCCCCCTCTGCTTCGGTGGGTGCAGGGCATGGCCCCGAATCCCACAACTTCGCCCCCGACATGCGATCATTACCTGTTCAGGGTTGGGAGCAGTGTGCTTACCCCTGAGCAGACACAAGCAACTTTGCAACTGCTCCCAAAGTTGCACATCCTTCTTATTCTTTGGCTCTTAAATTCCGTTAGGAATCTGCTATCGTTTTCCTTGTATTTATCATGTTATCGTTGAGGCCAAGCATAAGAGTCACACACGGTAGGCGGACGTTTTCATCTGAATTGTTGAAGCAGATGAGTCCTTGAGACTTTTGAGGCTTTATCTGTGCAGCACCCCTGAGGCAATTCACTTAGAATGTGGGTTGACTTTTTTTGGATGACATTTTTCCTAAAGTATGCTGCCCAAAAAGGCCAGGTGTAATGTCACAATATGATGTGAGACATCGGCAGTTCCATGGGTCAGCTGGGAAGCTTCCTGGCAGAAGGGAGCAGTTGGAGCTGAGATCTACTGGGATGCAGACGTTTCGGTGGTAACCTTAGTACCTTCTCACCTCCACCTCTCTATCGCATTACAGGGGAAAACCCAGGAAAGTTACCAAGTTTAAGTGTGTACGTCCCCATGTCTTGGCTCAGAGGTAGTTTAATGGGGACGTGAGGATGAGGTGCTTGGTTGTACCAGAGCCCAGGGGTGCACTATCTTGACATGAGGGTTTGACTGCAGAGTTTCTCAGCCTATAGAACGTCTCTGTCTACATTAAATCCCCAGGAGAAAAACAGTTTTCAGATTTCCCAGACTTCCCTGACCTTGAAACCCTTTGCCCTTTGAGAAGCGTCCTGTGGGATTAACGTGGTGGAGGGCACCTTGGGGAATGCCGCTCTAAGGGTTTCTGCAAGAAGGGTATTTTCCCTCTCAGTCACCATACTCTTCATTACTTCCTGCTGCAATGGTCAGGACCTACTTATAATTCCCTTATGGCTATTCCCTTGTCCTCGTGTGTGAAGTAAGTAGAAAAGTATTTGCATTTTCTAGATGGAAGGGATCTGGGTTGTATATTGAAATGCTTCAATACTGGACTTCTTAGAACAGTTTAGATTGTGATTTAAGAGGATAGACCTTTAAAACAGAACAGGTCTGGAAAATTGGCACATGAATAGGAGCCCCTGGACTTCCCGCTGCTGCTGATTTTCAGCCAAACGCTGTGTGAGTAGCCCCTGCCCTCGTAGGAGACTGAGCTGGGGTGTTAGTGTCTTGACGCTGAGGCTGCTTTTAAGGGCGGTGCCTCAGCTTCTGTCCTCAGTGCCAGGCTTCTCTTTCACAGAAGTTTAGGACAGGCATGTCCCTGGTGGTGAAGCCCTCTGCTGGAAAGGAGAACAGCTCTCAGTTTGGGCATCACGTGGTTTGATTTTGTGTTGAGCTGCTGCTTGTGTCTCTTGCAGGTTAAATGCCTCGCTCTCTGCTCATCCTGAGAAAGAAGAATTAATCCTTTTCGGAGGTGAATATTTCAATGGCCAAAAAGTTACGTATATATTTTCTTCTTTCCCTCCAAGTTTTCATGGGTCTCATTTAGAGGAAACTTCATTTTAGGCTGATATCAGATATTCATGGTCCTTGAACTCCCCTCCTGTGTGTCTGCATGTCAGGACTGGCCTGGGCCATGGTCCTTGACAAGCCACCAGGGTCCTTTAGGGACCTTTAGGGTCACGCCTCTTACCGCCTGCGTGAGGTGGGCCAGTACCCTGCTGTTCTTCCTCATGATGGGTTTCCAGAGGTGTTTGAATAGGGAAAGTGCTGATAAATTGCAGAGCAATTGATAAATTGTAAAACCTGTAATTTTTAGTTTTGAGCAGACCAGAAAGCCCTGGGTTTCAGAGCTATAGATGAAACAGTTCCAAAATCCTGAGTTCGCCTTCCCTGTGTGGCGGTCCAGAGATGGTCTTTGTCATTGTGTCATCACCCTGAAGGGTCCAGGGACCAGCCTTAGAAAACACGTTTCCTGGGGAGAGCTAGTGATTGAGATCCTACCTTCCACTTGCTGTCGCTTGTGTGGAAGCACCATTCGTGATGCTAAAGTACCTCTTCCTTTCTGCAGACTTTTGTATATAATGAACTCTACGTCTACAACATTAGGAAGGACGCCTGGACTAAAGTCGAAATCCCCAACCCACCTCCGAGGCGTTGTGCTCACCAGGTACGTGTCCGCATGGCCATCAGCCTCCCCTCCTCTCTCGCTGGGGCTCTGGCTCAGGATTCCACGACAGACCTTTAGAGCTGGTAACGGCGGGCAGCCTGGTATGGAGACGCTGGACCTCGCCCCTGGTCCTCACTCTGCCGCCTCCAGCTTGGCCTTGTTTCCGAGCTGCTTCACCCTCAGCCCTCACCTGTGAGGCTGGAGATGAGCTCCTGCTCCTGCAGGTGGTATGAAGCTAGGTAAAAATACCGGCGTGCGCCTGGCGCGGAGCCGTCAGAAAGAGGCTCCTGCATTTGCGTGAGAGAGGCCCCCGCGGGCCCGAGGTCTGGTGGCCAGAGAGATGGAAACAAGAAGACGGAGCGGGAGGCGCCAGTGGCTGCAGGAAGTAGCTACTGCAGAGTGAAGTGAGCCGTGCCCAGGGACGCTGAGGGAGCAGCGCCAGGTCGGCATGCTTTCAGCTCGTTTCCGCTCACCCCAGCGAGCTCCGTCAGAGCCGATGACTTACCAGGGAAGGAGTCCCGGTTTCATGGTTCCACAGTCGTACGCTCCACGAGGACAGGCATTGGTCTTTCTTGTTCATTATTGTACCCGGGACAGTGTTGGGGCTCAACAGATAATCTGAAAGAGTGATGCCTCGCCAGTGTCAGCCTACTGCGGCACGACTGAAACATCCCTCCACAGTGTGTGGTTCTCTTTTTTCTAATCCTGTGCTCAGAATAGCCTCCCGATTGAAATGGGGTCTGTGAAGGGGAGCTGACTGCCTGAACTGCATGGACGTCTCATGCATAGCCAGGCTTGCAGGCATTTGGACTGGTTCATCTTCTGGAAGAGAGGCATGCACTGCTTTCTGATATAAAAACTACACCTTAGTAAGGCTAATAAATGGATCTTGATAAGTTCTAGTGCATTCGCCGGAGCCCTCTCCAGTTCTGAGAATGCATCCACCCCAGGCCTCCAGGCCAAGCACTTAGTCCTGTCCTGTCCCATCCCGGCCCATCCGGTGGGGAGCGCTCCCCACTCAACGCCTCTCCAGTTCCTGGGCCCCAGGAACGCAGGCTGAGGTGCTTCTTTGATATTCGTTTTCTTATCCGTTTTAATCAGTTATTAACTCTGTCCCTGAAGAATTAGTGTCATTGAGATTTCTGAGAAAAGTCTCTGAGAGTTTTAAGTAAGTTACTTCGGCAGGCTCCGGTTTGGATGTACATCTTGTGAGTACTTTATGAGTCTGAGGCTTATTTAATGTTATCCCTGTAGATAAGGTTGGCTTGCTGTTTACTCTGTGAATTTCACAACAAATCGGGGCTGTGGAAAACAGATAATTGCTTATGAAGTCTTTTGCCTAAAGGTCATTACAGTTCAGATTCCACTATGTTAAGTTCTGAGACTTAAAAATTTCCTCATGGGACTTCCCTGGTGGTCCAGTGGTTAAGACTCCGTGCTCCCAACACAGGGGGCCCGGGTTTGATCCCTGGTTAGGGAACTAGATCCCACGTGCTGCAGCTGAGACCCGGTGCAGCCAAATAAATAGATAAATAAATATTTTAAAAGTTTTTTCCTCATGATGGACTAGGTTATGAATGTGACGATAGAAGCCACGTTCTTTATCTTGCATCAGTTAGGGGTAAAACGAGTAGAAGGAGAAAGCGTATACGGGGACCCTCCGTTCTGTCTTTTCCCTCTAGATATTGGGGGTTATTTTATTTTGTTTTATTTTATTTTGTTCATTCATTCATTCATTTAGCTGTGCTGTGTGGCTTGTGGGATTTTAGTTCCCCAACCAGGGATTGAACCCGTGCTCCCTGCATTGGGAGCGTGGAGTCTTAACCCGGGACTTCCCGGGCGGTCCAGTGGTTAAGTTATTTTAGCATGTAATTTGAGAGTCCAGTGGCCTTTTCTGAAATGAATACAGCCAGTGGGAGAAGGGAAAGGGTCACGAGGCCCGTTGAAGGTGTGCCTGACGACGACCTGTCAGCCTCACCTGTCAGGCCTTGGCAGGTGCTCCCCTCCCGGCACCCTCCCTTGGGGAGAGTGTCCAGACGCTCCTGCCCGGATGGGCTGACGGGACTGTTGAGGATTGAGGGGTGGGGGAGTGGGAGGTGCGGGCACAGACGGAGTTCACATTTTGTTACTTGCCTGATGGTTTGTTTCTCCCCAAGCAATGACTGACTAAACTCACTTGAAACAAAATGCATTCTCTCATACAGTAGAACAGAAGGTTCCGTATGGTTAAAAAAAAGTCACCTCTGTTCTCATCGGCCTTGGTGCAAGCATGAGCAGTAAGCCGTTTATGTAGAAGAGTTAGTGTTTACAAAGTGCCTGTTCCTGAGCGAGCAGAATTGCACTGACAGTGCCCACATGAGCTGCAGAGAGTGTTTTCCTCCAGCTCAGTCACAGCTTCGTTGCCGTCCGTCCGAGAAGGTGTTGCAGACTTGTACCTTGGGAAAGTCTGAGCATCTTTAACACGCAAGGCAGTCTTGTAGGGCTGGGATACAGCGACAAAAAAGACACGTTTGCCGTTCTTGGTGATGCCCCATAGTTTGTGTTTCCTTTGGTCCTGATGGCCTGGCACGCTTTTAGGACTTGGCTTTCACAAAGCTGACCTATGTGGCTGATGTCAGAATCCATTCAGAGTCTGTATGTTGTTTGGACTCCATTGTGCCTTTTTTTTTTGATCTTTGGAGAGAGAGTTGTGAAGTTAAGGTTTTCTAGACATGATTTTTATTCCAGTTAAGACAACAATACAGAAACCCAAACACCTGGGAAGCATACAGCCTCGTGGGACAAGTAGCAAAGTAGATGCTGGCTAGGACAGCCCTGCCTGGTATGGGGAGCAGTGCCGTCCTACTTTGGTCTCTGGGCGGTGCTTTGCCTCTGTTAGATCCAGGGAATGTTGGTTGTTTACATGTTTGTTTATTATGTTCATGTTTTCTTCTGAGTCTTTGGACATATTTATAACTTTTCAAGTGTTTGTCTGCTGATTCTCTCATCTGTATCATTTCTGGGTCTCTTTGTATCGACCAGCCTTGTTGATGTGGGTCACGTCTTTCTGCTGGAACTGTGTGGTTAGGTGATAGACTTTGTGGATGCAGAAGCAGATCTTAGGGAAGCCTGGGCAAGCCCCAAAGCTGAGGTACATCCCTGAGCACTAGGGCAGTTCTTGTCTTCTCAGATTCTCACATGTCTTCGTATTCACAGCATTCCACTGGGGTCTTCATACTCCTTCTCTGTCAACAGTGGTTGTGATGCCTTCTGCAGCTTCAGCCTGGCCCACAAGGAGACAGCGTCCTCAGTCTGTGTCACGCTAGTAAAGTGGGTGGTGTCTGGGACGCCGAGATCCCTCCTGCCGTGAGCATGACGCCATTCAGCAAAGGGCCGCTGGAGGGTTGACTGTCTGCGTTTGTTTTCATTCATCAACAGGTGATGAGTTTCGTTCTGGTAGGTGGCTCAGCCTCGTGCAGATCACCATGAGCCTTTGGAGGCTCTCTGAAGAATGGTAGCTCTATGGCGTGGCCTTGCTGGGATCTCTAGCGAACGCCCTGGGTATTCAGTGGCACCTATCCCTCTGGTTGGAACTTGTCTGTCTCCGAGCCCCCTGTGAGCTCAGGTCGTTTTCAAGTTTTCAGCCTCACAGTGATGGTCCCCACCGTGTGCCCGGCCTCGGGTGGTCTCAGTCTGCACACGTGCAGCTTAGTGTCTATGGGCTCCCGGGGAACCCAGCCAGACGTCAGGTGCTCGGCCCTGCAAATTCCAGCTGCCTCCGCATCCTGGAGCTCTGGCTTCTGTTTCCTCAGCTCAGCAGGGCCACGAGGGTGTGAAACTGCCTGTGGGGTCGGAGGGCTGACCTTGCCCGTTTACCGTGTCTCAGGGTCACGGTCCTGCACGTCGTGCTGTCTGGCTGTCGTGCTTCATGGGTTTTGTCCAGTTTCCTCCTTGTTTACAGTGGGAGGGCTGGCATGGTGCTGATTGCTGAGCCTGGGCAGAAGTGGAAGTTGTATGCCTGGCCCTATAGTTTGCATCTTCTCTTGAGTGGTATGTTAGCTCTTTCTTGGTGTTTATGGTCTTTGAGGAGGAGGTTAATACAGAGCCTTCAGATCACTGCCCATAATCCACCTTCGTGTCGTCCCCAGAGTTCTGCCTGTGATGGGACGTGGGAGACACACTCTGGTCACAGTCTTTTTTCTTGCCTGGAGTTTGACTTCATTTTTTAAGAATGGTTCTGAAAACTGATTATGTAAGTAATAAATATTCATTGTGGAAAAAAAAAATGAAGATAATGAAAGCAGAGTAAGTCCATTGTCCATTCTTCCAGAACTCCTAATTTATATTTTCTGCATCTTTTCTCTGCACCTGTGATTCATATTTCTATGCATTTCATCTTAGTTGGACTGTACACGTACATATGTGTGTATACGTGTGTGTGCACATATATGCATGTGTACGTATATATACATATATTCTCCCTGTACTGTTCTTCCCAGTTAATGCATTATTTGTGGTGTTATCCTGGGACGTTCAGTAGCTTCTATGATAAGATATTTCAAAACTACATTGTATTGCGTAGCGTGAAAGTACTACCTAAACTTCATTAAGCTCAAAAAAACGTGCTAGGTTTGGGCCTGAGCCAATCCTCATGTCTGGTTTACAGATTTGAAGTGGTCAGTTTCTTGCTTTATAATTATTGGGGTTCTAGAGTCCTAGGAAGCTGGCTTGTCTCGATAGGTCAGTCCTGAGAGGATGCACAAGACTGAGTGAAAATGGTGGGGGGGGCACATCACCCTAAGTGTGTCACCAGGACCCTCCAGTTAGTCCAGGACAGGAGCAGCATCGGTGATGGAGCTGCAGTTCTGCAGCGTTAAGCTTAATTAAGCGAAGGACCACACTGCAGTGCAAGCCCCAGGGTGCTCGGAGGGTGCCCAGGGCGGGCCTTCTGGGAACCACCATCTGACCGCCCACTGTGTGCTTGCCCGTGGCGGTTTGCGAGGGCAGGAGGCATTCACACGGGCTGCTTTGGAGCACCTGGCGTCCAGCTGCCCCCGATCCAGTTCCCCTGCCCCGGCCACACTGTGCCTGCTGCCGTTGGCACTGCATGTGAGCCCCTGGCCAGACGGCCCCTCGACGGGTTCCCGTCCCGCACCCCCTTGGTGTGAAGGACAGGCCCAGTTGCCTCCTTCGCTGTCTGGGCCCAGGGCTGGGGACTCTCGGGGCGGGCTGGCCCACCAATGGCTTGTGTGGCTCTGTCAGCCCAGGCGGTCCCGCCTGGTTCCCACGTGGCCTGTGAGTCCTGGGCCTTCAGCAGAACCACAGCAGGGCAGGATGCGAGAAGGACCTGACGGGGCAGGCATTTGAAGACGAGGTCAGGGCTTGGCACCGGGTGTTCTGGGGGAGGGGCTCCGGTTTTCCCCGAGAGCTGTATGGCTGTGCCCTGACCTGTCGCCATTCTCTCAACAGGCGGTGGTGGTGCCCCAGGGCGGCGGACAGCTGTGGATCTTTGGCGGGGAGTTTGCCTCTCCCGATGGAGAGCACTTCTACCACTACAGGGACCTCTGGGTCCTGCATTTGGCCACCAGGACGTGGGAGCAAGTCAGGTAAGGTGAGGAGCGTGACCCCTGGGCCCGCCCCTGCCCTGTGCCGGCGTCTGGGGTTCACAGTGACGGGGTCGGCTCTCGTAGGATAATTCCAGGCCTCCGAGGAGCGCGGTTGCCCCACCTGGGAGACCAGTCTGGCTGGTGACCAAAGGGAGGGAGGAGCTTCCCCTTCGCGGAGCGGCCTGGCCCGGTGCCGGCTGCCTGACATCTGACTTCGTGGAAGGCATTGCCAGGGTCTCTGGGACCAGCGCCGCATCTGGGCTCGTTTTCCTGGTCCTCCCTCCCCTCGTCAGCGTCAACACTGATCATGTTTTCCTGCAGTTCTCCTGTCCGTTTATCGCCCCAGAGGCAGCTCTGGGTTTCATCTTGCTGCCCGTGGAGTGCCGTGTCACTGAGAGGAAGTATCCGGCTAGGTCCGCTTGACATAGGAATAGTGGAGCGTATAAGAGGAAGGACAGGGAAGCCTTTATGTCACTGTTGAATAAAGCAGGCTCGGCCATCGTTGGTGCCTGATTCCTGCTTCTGGCGGTGACATTGACGTGTGGTTGTCACGTTCACCCCTGCAGTCTCCGTGGCCAGAGCCACACACCTGACTCTGTAGAGAGACGGACGGTGTGTCTGCGTATAAATTATGTACAAGAAGAAGCCTAGTAGCATGACGGACTGCAAGTGGAGTCAGTGGCTTTGCCCTCGTGGGGCGCACGCGTGGCTCTGGGGTATTAGTTCAGGCTCCTCGCCTCAGCGGAGCGGAATTTGGGGGGGGGGGTGCAGGGCTGCTGTGAGGTCCCGGGACTTGCATCCGAGGGAGGTCTCTGGAGGGTGTGCTCCGTGGTCCCCTGAGGGGCCTTTTAGGAGCCCGTGAACACCCGGCTGTGGCCTGCTCAGATCGGCTTCCAGCCTGGAGTGTTGGACTAACGTGTAAAGAGTTGACCGTGAGAGTGACTGGAAGGTGCTCGGAGATTCCCAAGCCCGCTCAGCTGCCGGGGAAGCCCTGGAGAGCAGTGCTAGTAAGGTTGGACCCAGGGTGAGCCTGGTGCGCTCTCCCGAGCGCCGCCTGCATCTGCTTGTCTTACTTGCTTTGGGAAAGACGTGGCAACTGAGAACTTTTCATGTTAAAAATTGATTTCATTGTGTATATGTTGAGACCTAGTCATTTTCATTTTCCCCATAATTTAAAGAGTGTTCAGGCCCGGAGCACGTGCCCTTTTTTGTCTTTCTTGCTTTGCTTCAGTTATTCTTTTTAAAATCCAGTTGTTATGTCTTTGTTCACTTCTGGCGAATCGGTTCTTGATGTTTTCGTTGCATTTTTGTCAGCTTTGGTAGCTTTTGCCTGTAGCGTGTGGGTGAGGGGCGGTGAACGGCCCCGTGGGGCCTGCGGCACCCGTGGGGCCTGGTGTTGGTGGTGGCGGCATGTTGTGGGCTGTCCCGCAGTGCCCTGCCGGGCTGTGCTGTGGCGCGTGCTTTCTCGTGGCCTCCGGACCTTTCCGCTTCTGTGACAGGTAGTGCAGGTGTTCGCTCCAGGGAAGCAGGGGCGCCCTAGTGCCGTGCAGTCAGTGCCCTTTGCAGAGCTCGCCGGGCCTGCTGTCCCGAGCCCCGCCTCACTGCGCGCCTTGAGCTGCGTCCCGGCGTCGTCGGCCTGGTTGCGCCTGCTCGGCACGCAAGGCCGCTGTCCTAAGTCAGAAGTCGTTCCTGATGAGCAGGTCTCTCATTACTTTTTTGCTGATTGTAATTAAAGTGGGAGAATTCCTAAAGGTATACTGGGGAGCCTGCGAAATGCTAATGTGAAGGTGCAGAGACAGAACTGAGCTGCCTCTCTCGGCACCCCTGCTCTAGCCTGGATAGAGTGGTGTGGCAGGGAAAGGGTTAGGCGCTTTATTTTTTGTCTGTTTTGTCTACAGCATCTTTTTTTTGAGCCTACCTTCTGGGCCGTCATCTCTGGTTCTCGGTGGGGAGATGGGCAGCCGGGCAGAGCTGCGCTGAGCTGTTCTCTTCAGTGGCCAGGGTGCGGCGGTGCATTTCACCAGAGCCCGTGGTCCCTGCGGGGCTGAAAGTTGGGGGATGGAGGGTCTGTCCCTGGCTTCTTCTCTTACCCTGTTTGCCGGGAGATTTTAAACGACCAGCTCAATTTCTGTGTTTCTGCTGCTCAGCCCAGTTCACTTACTGCTGCTTCACGTGCCTACGGTTCCCAGGTGCGTTGTGTTCGAGGCTGGCTCTGTTTTTAAGGCCCCTGGTGGGATGCAAGAAATCGGAAGCGGTGTGCGAGAGATACTGTGGGGTGACGACCTCCGTTCCCGTTTGTCATCGTGGGCGCTGGGCTCGGTGCCTGGGAGTGCGCACAGCCACAGCCCTTCCCCCGCCCTGCCCCAGCGTGTTCTGTGAGACCAGCGAGGAAGGTGTGCCCTGTGTGGCCCGTTCCTTGCTGTTACAGTGTCTGCAGCCACCGTTTGTGGGGAGCAAGCACGTCTCAGGGAAGGTTCCCTGAGTGAGTCACACACTGGAAGCCACAAGAGGGTGACTGTGTGACCATGGGAAATGTTAAGGTTTTTGTATCAGGAATGATGCCACCAGGAAAGTGTGGGAGTGGTGACAGGTTTACAGCGTGAAGCGAGCTCACGTTCAGAGTAGAGACTTTGTGTAGAGTAGTGAGCAGCAAGCGGCCGGACGTGAGAAGGCAGCACGAGTGGCTCACACGGAAGGCCGGACTGCCAGGCGGCGAGGGCTGGGCAAGCAGAGGTCCCTCCCGCTGGCTGAAGTGTCGCCGGCAGCACCTGTGGTTCCGGCGTCCTGTTGCTTGTGCCTGCCCCTCGACCCCATGTGCACTGTTAGGAATATACCCTAAAGAAATGTTCCCTCTCATGTTGTACAAAAAAGCTTGTACAGAAACCTAAGATGCAGAGCAGCACGTGCCTGAGTGTGTGTGCATGCACGTGTGCCTGCAGACTGGGCCAGACAGCCGGTGCAGGCACACATGCGTGCACACACGCAGTCCAGAAGGGTCTGGATGTTTCCGGGTTTTCTTCTGATTCCTTGATCTTCTCTTCCCACCTATTCTAGTATTGCTCCATTTTAATCGCTATAGCTCTGTGGTTTATTTGGATAGCAGGAAGGTTTTTCTCATTTACTTAAAACATTTCTTTGTCATGCACTCAATTTTTTTAAAATTTTTAAATATTTTTAATATTTGGTTGCATTGGGTCTTTGTTGCTGCGTGCGTGCTTTCTCTAGTTGTGGCGAGCGGGGGCTACTCTTCGTTGAGGTGCATGGGCTTCTCATTGTGGTGGTTTCTCTTGTTGTGGAGCATGGGCTCTAGGTGTGCGGGCTTCAGTAGTTGTGGTGCGCAGCCTCAGTCGTTGTGGCTCGTGGGCTCAGTAGTTGCAGCTCACGGGCTCTAGAGCGCAGGCTCAGTAGTTGGGCTTAGTTGCTCCACGGCATGTGGGATCTTCCTGGACCAGGGCTGGAACCTGTGTCCCCTGCATTTGCAGGTGGGTTCTTAACCACTGTGCCACCAGGGAAGCCCCACTCATTTTTTTTCCTAAGAGCTTCAGAATGTTCAAGTTCTGTTTTATAAACGTTCCAATGGGATTTCGATTGGATCATAGTTTGTCGATTTCACCTAGGGAGAATTGACATCTGTCTAATCCTTAGCCTTCCCAGTCGGGAACATTTCACTTCTCTCCTCTTAGGAGTCTCAGTTAGGTTTATTTTTTATCCTCCAGAAACATTTAAACCGGCCCAGAGGTAGAGTTTCAAAGTCAGAGGGCATGTGTTCCTGGAGCCTTGTCCCCGGGTCTGACTTTCTCCCCAGGCCCTGTGGGCATAGCTGTCTGCAGTACACGGGTGTTTTGTCTGGGGCAGTTCTTTCTTGTTCTCAGGGACCACCCTGGCTTCACAGTGTAGCACATGCTTAGTCCGCGGGGTGGCTGCCTGTCTGCACTTTGGAGGGGGTGTCTTAAAGAACTTCCAAGGTTTCACAGCAGGAGTCGGTGGTGGAGTGGCTGGGCGACTTGTCAGCCTGGGGAGATGGCTCAGAGCTGAGAGGGTACCTCTCTGGGTGATTCTTGGTCTTCCGTGCACCGATCAGCACCTAGGCAGCTCTGAAAATGCGTGTTCCTGTCCTCGTCCCCCTAAACATCAGGTCTGATTCAGAGCCGCTTTAAAATGGGGCTCGGGAGTCTGCATTTGACAGTAACCCCTCCCCACCCCCTTAGTGATCTTGATCCAGGCGGCCCTGGATCACAGCTGGAGGCCTGGCCTACTGGCGCATCTCATGCATATTTTGAGCACTGTTCACTAATGTGAGAACGTCGGCTGCCTTTTCAGAAGTAAGAGACTCATGTAAAATGCCTCTTAGATCCTTAACAATGAAAAACGGTGTGGGTATTGCTTTTGTAATTTACTACTCATTCCACAATGAAAGCGTCGTCCCACTGTTGTTTGGCAGGGCTGTGCATGCTCAGTTGAGGAGGCCCGGTGTAGCGGCGGAAGCAGGCCGACTAATTACTGAAGTTGGTCTGTCGATCCCGGGGGCTGGGTTACAGCACGTGGGGTTTTGCCTTGGAGCTGCCGGCACTCGGAACTGGGCTTGGTTATTAATAGGCAGACACAATGGCTGCTGTCTCCTCTGTAATTTTTTCTTACCTAAAAGAAAAGGGAAGGCGCTTCAGCCAAAATGAAGGCTGATTTTGCTATTTCTGGGGAAGATCACTGAGTCTGGGGGAATCCACACGGTGTGAGCTCAGATCATGGGAAAAGTGCAGGAAGAGGTCACTGTGAACCGAATTTATTCAGTCTCCAGGACTTGGCCCGGCACTCTGCATTCTTTTTGCCATGCTGCACGGCTTGCGGGATCTTGGCTCCCTGGCCAGGTTTTGAGCCCTCACCCTTGGCAGTGAGAGCACCGAGTCCTAACCAGGGAATTCTGTGCATTCATTTTTTAGGAAACATTCTTCACTCCCGTGGGGGTAGTTTTACGTTTGGGGAGACTGAGACCAAGAAAAGGT